TGTAGAAACTCACTACTAGAACTTCCCGAATCTCTAATGGCATTAAACCTGAAACTTCTGGACTTGAGGGATAACATGTTATCAACCATCCAGTCCCAACATGCTAGCATGTTAGCTCAAAGACTGCACACTGTTTATATGAATGGAAATGCATTCAACTGTTGCCAGTTAGACTGGTACAGGACCTTCGGGGAGAATAAAGACATCAATGTTGTAGATCACTCCGAGATTACTTGTTTGGACTTAAACCACAGACGTCACAATATCGTCCTTTTGGACGCCGTCCAATGTGGTGGTATTAGTAATGAGGAGTCTGTTGTGTGGTACATCCTTCTCTTTGTAACAGTCAGTGTTTCCATCATGGGTATTTCTATCATTTACATGCTCACCTTTAGGCCAAGAATGTTGCCTCGTGCTATTAAAAAGAGATGCTGGAGGCCGTCTCCCTATTGAGAAACGTGCTGTGTTAAAATAAGGGGCTAACATGCAAATATGCTGTTAAAGGTCGCTACTTTCAGAGAACGGGACATAACAAAAGAGAAATGTGATATTTTTTTTGAAAGATTTAGACCATATTGGTCTGTATAAGCATGTGAATGTATTTCATTTTACTGTTAAAATTCATGAAAATGTCTGGGCTGCTGTATGGTTTGTAAATGTGAATACAAAAGTGGCAATTAAACTTTCAGTAATTATGCTTTAAATTTGCATTTATTCATTTAGCAAAAGATTTGGGGATTTTGAACCTATGACCATGGCCTTTCTAGTGCTTTGTATATTGAGTAAAATACTTGATAAATCAAGTTCCCCAATCAAAATGTTGATGTGCGAGGGTTCAATTTCAAATTAGGGCTGAAACACCACATATATATGTTAGTGGTTGATCAATGATCAATGGTTTTCGATGGAAAATGATCAAATGTTTATATGGATACTTTGAATGTCCTTGTAAACCTTTCACAAAACATGCCTCTAAAAGGACCATACACGACTACTAATGTGAATTTTAACACCATTTATGGTGGTGATATTTCAAATCAAAGCTTGTACACTGTAAAAAAAATCTTTTCATGATTAGTAATCACAATATTTTTTCTTTTGTCAAATCAACTTAATTTATTTAGTGTAGATAACATATAATTTTGAGTTTCTGAATATTAAATCATTCTCATTCATTGTATTAACTCACTTTTTCCATTTCGATGAGCTCAAAATTTTAAGGCAACCAGGTTACTTACTTTTTTAAGTTAAACCATCAATATTTTTTTACAGTGTATCAGCGAGTTTCTATTAGTTATATAAAGCTATTTGAAAGTTTTGTTCTCATTATTTTGATTTTGACTATATTAAAAATGTCCTTCTTTAATAACTAAATTCAAATGATGTTCGCTATGATAACTTTACAAAATATTACATAATGCTTACAGCATATAGCCAATGGCCTGCTTTAATTTTTTTTGTTTTTGTTGTTGATTGACTTGCATTTGTTTTGGGGATCACCTACTACAAGAGTGGTCTTCATATGTGCTTTTTATTGTATAAAAATCCCAGTCAGATTTGTGTGTGCATGTATGTTCGCAGAAGTTGCGCGTGAAGAGCAAGTGCTAAAAGTAGCAAAGGAAACATGAAATTTCCTGTTTTGCTAAGACCTGTAGCAACTGCCCAGCTCTCGGTATCATAGAGGGGGGTGGCGGTGGTGTGGTTTTGCTCCATGCCGAGTTCTCAGAGGCAGTTTCAGCAGGATGTAAAGGATTGCAACCGTGTTCGTTTTTCACGTGAAATATTACCCTAGCAGTTCACATTCATTTGTGATACTAGAAATAAAACATTTTGTATCATACATTATTAAAAACTATAAAATATATAATTAATAATTATATATATATATATAATTAAAAAATGCATAACATACACTTGTATAACTAAAACACACTAAAGTACAAAGCAAAGGTGATCATGTGGCCACAGTGAGTATCCACATTGACCAATGCAATAATTTATTGTGAGACTTCTCACTGCAGGGATCATCAGGGTTAGACCACTAAATCTTAACCACGCTGACTAGCACATCAGCCTACGTGGGATTTCTTATGTTTCTGTGGCACAAACCTTATGACAAGAAGACAAAAGGATAGCTAAATGTCAGTCAGGCCGTGAGCATGGGAACCTGTCAGTGTGTGTGAGTGAGAGTGTGTGTGTGTGTGTGTGTGTGTGTGTTGTGTATACACTGAGAACCATGTGTGCATGTTAACCCAGAGTGTAACCAGAATACCGCTGTGGTGTTTCTCTAGGTCATGGCGGTTTGAACAGAGAATGAGCAAGAAAAAGAGAAACTAGGGAGTGTAGTATGGGCTCAGAGGCACATCTGCCATTTTTGGAGTAAAGTCTGTCCTGAAAACTCTATATTTAAAATGGGTTGGGGGAAGTAGTAATGTTATGGATATAATGGAATAAAAGATGAGTTATTGTCAGAATTTTCTTCAAAGAGTTGTATACATAAAACTGAATTATGTTTAACCAAAAAATGTGCAGTTTTCCTCTGAGAGAATCTGAAACTACTTTGATCGAAGTTTGGTATGAGTATAAGCGAACGTTAAAATGATTTTACTGCTTCATATTGTCAGTGTATACTGTCAATGTTGTTTTTCTATTTCATTTTCAGTGTGAATCATTTTATTTGTGCCATAGGCAAATCTCATGAAGTGGTTGAATGTGGTGTGGTGATGTGTCAATTAAAACCAACCCTCAAAGAACCTAGGGATTTGATATTTGAATGAGGAACTGGGCTGATTAAAATAAACTAGAAATAACACACACTTTCAGATTCATACCAGTGTTTTTGTCACTATGGTGAGCAATTGTAAAATAAAATGAAATAAAGTGTTATTTGGGATGTTTCATTAACAAAAATGAATCTGGACATAAACTGTGATATTATTTAGAGTATATGCTGGAGTTGAGTACCATCTAAAAATGTATATGGTAGTTATTTATTTAGTTTATATCATAGAAGCCTATATAGGCTATACAGTATATACCCTTGTAAAGCCACAATCATTTTTGTAAAAGTTTTGAGCCATAAGATCAAATATTTTTAACTTGTAAGTCCAAAGGACTCAAAAAAAAATTCTAAGCATAGCTACATTACAGTGGTTGCGATAGTCTTTTTTCCCTATTGTGACATATAGCCTATCTGAGTGAAACAACTTCACGAACAAGAAAAAAATTAGGGTGGGACCGGGCGGGCGAGTGCTGGAGGGATAGGCTACACATTATGTAAAGTCATCAAAGCTATAGTCCATATTCACAGCCTCGTTGTGTTTATAATCCCTCATAATAATTTATAAGTGAGCCCAAAGGGACCTTTGTAAAAAAAATAATAATATACAAACTTTCAAATGCTCATGAGAAACCTTCGCGTACGTCCTCACAAGAATTTGCAAAGGTCCCTTTAGGAGCTCCGTAGTAGGCTACACACACTTTCATGTGATTTTCTTTTTTGACCATTTTTTTACTTTCGTCACTTGAAGTCCTATTCCTAACCTACTTATAGCCACTGAGTTAGAAGCACTGAAATGAAAATTAAGCAATTCAGGCATCTGTGGAACGGGCAGGACTGGAAAAACTCCAGCCAATCATTTCCAAGACCACCTAGAATCATTGGACAGAAAATTCGTCAATCAAACGGTCGAACCACGCAATCCAATTGTTTTTTTTTTTTGTTGTTGTTGAGGGAACCAGTATGATGCTAACTTCCGGGTTGGCTTACAAAAGTCATTACTGTAGCAGAAAGAATGTTGTAATCCAAAAGAGTACAAAAATAGTAATCCATTACCATTGATTGGATTGTTGGATGTGGTTTGCTATTGATCAATCTAATGTGAGTCAGGTTGTCCAGCCCTCACGCCACCAAACACGTCAACAGAGAATTAAGTTGCAACAAGATGAAGGGGAAGTTATTTTATTTAATACGATATGATTGATTGCAAATTTGCGATAGAACATTCACTTAAAATGAGCACGGAAAGATCATATCTAGCTTAACAAACACAAATTCCATAAAAAAAAAAGAAGTGTCAATTTAAACGAAATGGCGACTGTAAGATTATTTTATGCAGAAGGAGAAAGACAGGTCAGCTCCCACATTGCTGTTTTCGGGAAGGAACTGAACATGCCCTCTCGGCATGTGAGGCTGAGTAACGGACAGCAAGTAAACGCTTGCTGAGCCACAACAGCACAGGAAGTCAACAGCCTGTTTAGTTTAGCACAACTTCCTCTTAACCCTCCCCTCGCTGACCATCCACGTACTGTTTACACAAGACAAGAGCAACACCAACACAAGAGCTGCTCTGTCATCCTCACCATACAGCATGTCATAAACAACATGTTATTATATGTAACGACGCATTATTTTATTGAACAACGAGGATCGAGTTACTTTTTGATTATTTTTACTCAGTTCAATGAAGATGAGTATGTTCAAAAAATAGGTTACCTAAAAAGGCAAACAGCTAACGTTAACTATTACATTTAAGAGTATTACTAATCATATGTGTAACTTTAAGGCACTTTTCCGATTCAAAAAGGTTCATTTAGAAACCTAAAACGATTACCGAGTGAAAAGCCTGACCTCTACTGACATTAGAGTGAACAGTCATATTTCAACAATGTTGAAAATTAGCATACTACTCCATTTAATTATAGAAAATGGTATGTGAAACAGTATTATGCAACCATAAAATGCTGCATTGTTTATTGTTGTCCTCATGTTTCAGTCAGAAAGTGGCGTCCAGTTGAAATCTCTGATTTACATCCATTTCTGTTCCTTTCTTTATTGAATGTCTTAACATTAATATAACAAAATGATCATTTCATCTACTGTATTATACTGTATACTGCAAAAATGGATTAGTGTCCTATTCCAAACATGAAAATATCAATAGAAAACATGAAACAAATGTGCATGAAATGAGAAAATTCAGAATCAAAAAACAGAGGGGTTAAAAGTCTACACATTTTTATTATGTAATGAAAACATTGTTATAAATCTATGATAGTAATCAGAATTTAAGCAGTTAGATAACCTGTGCTTTTGTAGTTACAAATGTAAATAAAAAAATAGAGGATGGCATAAATGTGTAAAATTAGCACTCATCTTTTTTTTTTTTTTTTTGCTTTAAACAGTTTAAAACATCAACCTGAAGACGATTGTAAGGCACATGGGTAAACAAAAGTAATTATCAGTAAAGAGATTTTGTTTGTATCATGAAATTAATAACTTGATGTATCCTTACCATGCGCTTTTTGAAAACTGCAAAGGACAGTTTCATAATTCATAACAGGAAAGGCTTGTCTGCGTGCAAATAAAGCATTTTCTTTGTGTGCTTAAACTTTTAACACAATGAAGAGAAATGTAAACTGCAGAAGATAATAATTGAGGCCCATGTCAGTTACGATGTGGCTGATTAACCCTGAAAATAAATTATGGCATATTCATATCTCCACTTCTACAGGAATTGCTTTGAAATGTTCTAGAAACTAATAAGAGTTCTTGTACATAATGGAAGTCACTTTAAAATTCATACAAAAAGACAAACCAGTCTTAATACTTTCTTGTTGTAAACATGAAATACTCAAATAAAGTCACTCTTGGAGTTTTTTGTATAATAACAAGGCATGTTGGCAGTAAACATGTCACATCGAACGCATTTGAAAAATAATTCTGAATTAATTCATTTGTAAACATTGTTCCGGTTAGAACCTCTTCCCATACTGAGACTGCAAGACGTCACATCCAATGAAATACTGTTGCATGTGAGCAGCACAAGACGTCTTGTTTGCATATACGGTATACAGCACAGCTGGATTACACTATACCGATCTGTTTTGGTTCCAACAACACTCGTTTTCTTTTAATTTAGCAGCTCCAAGTAGGTAATGGGCACTTTTCCCTTCTGAGTCCCACGTTCCCCCATCAGCCAATCAGAGTCCATGCCTGGAACGCAGCTCACCATGATCACCTGAAAGAAAAAGGACACGCAATTCCACTAGGGATTCAAACCAAGAAAGAATTATTCAAAATCAGCGACACACAAGTGGGCCGTCTACCTCATCGGCCAATAAGGAGAGCTCATTGCTGCCCGCGGCGTCGTAATCGTACAGCACTCGTGCTTTACGGCTCCCGGTGAAGTTCTGCAGCTCGGTGAAACCTGAAGACGCATTGCCTTTGGAGGAAGGAAAAGGGGTTGACAGTGGCAGGATGGGTAAGGAGACACTGGCCCCGCCGCTGGCCGTCGACTGGTTGTTGTTGGAAGAGAAAGCCGAAGGGAAGCTGGAAGGGGGAAAAATTCCAGATGAGTTAAATAATAATTAAAATTATTCTAAAACAGAAAAAAAGACTGATTGTGTCTTACTTTCCCAACTGCTTTTGGAGGTCCACCATGTACTGGTAACACTGGGCATAATATGTCATTTGAGCCTCCACAAAGTCATTTAGACAGCGGAGATGATGGGCCTGGGGAAGAAAGAAAGTCGGGAGAGAGATGATATGGTCCGACATTGTGTTTTCCGAGTAAAACTGAGGGGTTGTGAGATGTGGATTGGCAGGAGGCCCAGTGAGCGGTAGGTTTTCAGATGAGAACTCACATGTGTACTGCTGATTCCTTCCAGAAGAAGCCTGGTGATTTCTGCCTGTCTGTCAAACTCACTCTGTGTCATCTTCAGATCCTGCTCGGCCTGAAAGAGAGTGGGAGAAATAGTGAAGGAATGTTTTACTGATACAGCTTTAAGTCGTCATTAAACGGAAGTTGCAATAGTCTTTTCTTCCATATTGTGACGTATATCCGATTTAAACAGCTTACCGAGCAAGGAAAAATCAAATGTAGAGCAGGAATTGACCAGTATATGCATTTTTTTTTTATAAAACAGTAGGGAAATACATGGATGACATTCTGCTTCGGCTGAGATTATGAAGTGATTACAATATGAGGCAATAAGTGAATTTAGATGCAGTATTGGCCAGTGTTTTTAACTAAAACTGTTAAAAATAAAGCTGATATTAAATAAAATTATAAATATTAGTTTAAATCTCAAAAAATTTAAACAAAACAACTGAAATAAACAAGGTGGAGTACTAAAATGACTGAAACTGCAATGGTAAATAAATATGACAAAAGCACCTAAAATGATCTTAAAATGAAAACTTAAAAAATATATATGAATAAGTAGTATAATAGTATGGGCATTATAATGATAAAAGTAAAAAATAATAATAATATTTAAAAGAAAACAATAGAGTCAACACGCAAGATCCTTTGAGTGGAACTTGAATCTACTTGTATTCAGTTTGCAAGCTAACACCCTGCTAGCTTTAGCCTCCTAGCTTCACACAGTACATTTTTAATTGATTAATGTTTTGATTCGCCATCAGGCTTTGAGGAATCTTGCATAACACCAGAAACACAAAATGTTGGAAATTACAGGCAAAGAAAAAGCTGGCAATACTGCCTAACTGATCCACAATTTCCCGTTTTTCACCGAGAGAAACTCATCACGACACGCACTGTATTTTTCACATTAGCGCTAAGATTCGCAGATGATCCAAAATGGCAGAACATACTTCTTACCTTTGTCACTTCCTCTGCCCACATCTGCACAGCATTTGAAAACAGCAATAATATATTTAGAGATAAAACTGAGGATTAACACTTGAACATCTACACAGACTACAGCCACAACATCAGCAGCTAGCATCACTGAGGAAAATTTAGCATGGTAACCCAAGTTTCCACCAAAATACCAGGTACTATAGTCGTTGTGACTAAAACAAAAAAGAAAATGCATGTGATTTCTTTCAAACAGACACTTTCAGAGTAAGTTTATTTTTTTTAATTTTGATTACAGTGATGCTATTAACAAAGTTAACAGTTTTATTATGCCGACATGAATCATAACATGGCATTTTGTCAAAAACTATGGTTAGCATGATTAAGATTGAAGCACAAATCACAGCTGTTTCAAGGAACGAACTATTTGCAGCAACTGACTAAGAATTACTTGCTCACTTCAACTGTATCGACGCAAACTAAACACTTCCCATTTTGGAAGAGGGCAGCTGTTTGTTTGGGTACTAATGTGTGTATGTGGGTGTGTATGTATATATGTGTGTAGGTTGAGAGCTGGACATGAGGAGACAATCTTGAAGCACTTCTTTACTTCTCTTGTGAAACTGGGGCCAAGGGCGAAGAGTTTTGAAATGTCATCACGATGTTGAGCAAACATGGATATCCTCTTTCCAAACTCTATATGCACAAAAAAAGGAACCTGGAAACACACACACTGCTAATATCCGGGACAAAAGAGCTTAATCAACAACTTAAAGAGGAACTAGCATGTCTTAAAGGTGACTCTTCTAAAGCAGAGTGGAACTTGGCACTGGAGAGAAACACACACAGACCAACCTTTAGCCACTTTACATGGAGAAAATTCACCATGAAGGAGAAATTGGCAACATAGCCAACGTCCCCTGGTGGAGGGGTAGATCCGAGAGGCTTTTGTGTGCCGACACAAAAACAAGAGACAGTACAGAGCTGCGTTTAAGAAAGATGGCAGGTGCCATTACATCATATTTAAGGGGAAAATTCCATTTTAATTTGTGTAGAAGCAATAATGACTCACCAGAGCTCTGGCATCAGCCATTTTGGCTTTCTTTAGCTTGGTCTTTGCAGCATCGAGGTCCAGTCGTTTGTTCTGAAGCAGTTTACGCTCTTTCTGTAAAGAAGCAGACGAGTTTTTCCGATTTATCTATAGCAAACACTGCAATATTCTAAAAATTTAAATAAGGAATTTAAAGTTAAATTTGAACTGTTAAAAACTCTGACATTGTGTAAGCTAAACCTGTTATAGCTTCACATTAAAATAGCTGTTTTTTATTCATTTTAATTATTATTATTATAATATTTTTTAAATTTCAATGGCAAAAAAACCCACACACATTAAACCCATTTGAGAAATATTATTCACTTTTAAAAATTTACTTTTACATTTTCAGATAGAAAAATAAATGAGTTCATCCAAGTGATGCAAAGCAGAATTTTTCATGATCCTTATGCTGATTTGCAGCTCAAAAAAATGTATTATTATTTTCAATGTTGAAAACAGTTGTGCTGCTTAATATTTTGATGGAAATATGATAATTTTTTCAGGATTTTTTTTTTAACTTTTGATTGGAGGTGTATATAGCCATGTTTCTAAATAATATCCACCTTATTTTCAACAAAGAAGTAAGCTATTTTCTGTGAAGGTGTGAGACTTTCAATTCATTAGCCGTTATAGGGAAATAAGAATTTAAAAAAAAGGCAGTAAATGCCCAAAAAATTGGCTAGAGACCAGTTTGTTTATAATAATTATATAATAATTAATTATTTATAATAATAATTAAAACAATACATTAACATAACATTAAGAAATAACAGATTGCAATATCAAGCTGAATAAGAAGCTGTTTTGTACACCTAAAAATAACCGAAGCTAAATAGGTCGGACAAATTCAAATTTACAAATGCCCTCGGCCGCACTTGCGTGAAACATAATGTTTCAGAAATCAGTGTTTCAGTTATTAGGGTTGCCTGAACTTACCAATATAGTCTTGAAGTCTCCTTCTAAAAAGTTGCGGAAAGGCGTGAGGAAATTGATGGCAGAGCTCTGAATGAACTCTCGCTCCGCTCCTCCGATCTGCTTCTCCGTCTCGCCACACTTAATCAGAGCGTTTCCTGTAGACAGAAACGGACCAACTGTACATTATACTAATTCAATATCACCAAGATGATCTTTGTTAGATGTCTAGAGGCCATTCTCAACTAGCGAACAGTCTACTAGTGTTTTAGTAGGTGTTTACATTTAAGCAAGGGGAAATGGGGTACTGTCAATGGACTACTATTATTGAATGAGGCACTATGGGTTATCCACTATGCTGCCTGTGTGTTTGGTGCTTACCGTAGGCTGTTCCAGGCCCAGATTCATTCCCAGAGTCGATCATGGATTCCCCCAGAAGCTCATGGTTGTTCATCCGTGTTGGGACCTTCTTGTCTAGTTTTTCATAGAAGAATTCTTCTATTCTGACATCTGAAAACGCAGGTAATATGAATAACATTTTTATACAAAAATCTATGTTACATATTCACTCTATAGTATATAGTACTATAAATGCCACATGAAATTCATATATATTCATTATATATTAAATATAGACTCATTTCAATATTTACGAGTAAAAAGGGAACTGTATTTACTGTAAAAAGTGGTAAACTGTTACCTTATGGAGCTAGTTCTACTTGCTAACCAGACCCCAAACCCAATGGACCCCATTGATTCCGTAGTATTTTTTTCCTACTATGAAAGTTAAAGGGGCCATCAACTTTTGATTACCAACATTTTTCCATCTTCACCATTCATTCTTACATCTTCTTTTGTGTTCAGCAGAATAAAGAAATTCATACAGGTTTGGAACAACTTGAGGATGAGTTAATGATGACAGAATTTTTGGGTGCACTTTTCCTTTAACTAATGGGACCTTATTGTAATGTGTTACCCGTTTTTCCCCTTCTTTCCAGACAACAATATTAATTATATTTAAAAAGTAAAAATAATTTCAAATAATTCCCAAATAATTCAAATAATTAAATACTACAGCACCATGGTTGCATCCTTAAAAAGCTATCTCTAAATACACAATAAGGAATGTGATTTTCTAGATGTGATGGAGTCGACAGGTGTGTGTGCTAGATCTGTGTTTTGATCAGCTGTTTGTTCCCTCCTGTTGTGCAAGTGTTTTTCTGTCCTGCTGATATTTGAAAGTGGTGTGGCACCACAGTGAGGCTCTAACAACTGTGGTTATAGACTTTCTGACATTTCAGTGAGATTTGAACATGAGGACAGAGTAAATTATGGATGGGTTCCAGAGAAATGGAACCTTCTAAGAGAAATATAATTCAATTGTACATGTAAAGGTCGAACAAATATCAAATACTTGTAGTAGTCCTCGAAATCTCCATGGGGTAAAATAATTAATGATTAATGATTAGATGAAGATGTCAAAGCTAATGAATCATCTGATCACTGCATGGATCTTACAGTATGGAGCTGCTTTGATGCAATCTATATTGTGAAAAGAGCTATAAATATACTTGACTTGACTTACTTGGGTTTGGCTGAAGTAACACTTCTGTCTGCTTCAAAATCTTCTCTGTCCATTGTTTAGTGCATTCAGCTCTGGTGAGGAGATTCTCCAAATGTGCATCCAACTCTGTCTTCTCAGCCTGGCCAAATTTTTCTTCTGTGAACTGTATATGAAGACAGCAGGCATTTAAAAAAAGAAACGTTTGCCCATACTGCCACAAATATATTAAACAAGGTAAAGTACATGTGATGTTCAACATTTTGATGTAGTTACACACGCAAAAATACATCGAAATACATTAAATGTGTATGTGTGTGTGTGTCTGTCTGTCTGTCTGTCTGTCTATCTATCTATCTATCTATACACACATGTATATAGACCTTTATACCTTTATACACTAAAAAGTGGGGCAATTTACTCCCAAGTAGTATTGAAACAGTTACAGTACAATTAAAAGTATAGCTTACTTCTAGTACATACATTGATTTTTTTTTTTTATTTTTTTTTACTGGATAAAGTATGTACTTGAAATTTACTTAAATAGGCTACTTAATAAAATCAACTTAAAGTATTCATATTTTTGGTAAAGGCTCTCAAAAACAAAAGCGCTCAATCTAATGTAAAACAAAACTTAACCGCAGTTTTCACATCATAGCAGTATGTCGACGTAGGCAGCGTTTTTAAGGCATTATTTACGTGTATTTTTTCAGCATTATCAACAACACATATGACCATCTCTATGATGATGGATAAAAATACTCTCTGGCTAGACAGCTCAGTAGGTTTTAAGACACAGCCTTTGTGTTTTTGTGCTGAGGTCTGCAGGATTAAACACTAACGTTACTTTAGCCCGTTAGCGTTAGCCTCACAAACTAAATCTGGATAAAAAGTAAAAATGTCAGTGTGTATTTTGACCATATGACAAAGTATGCATGTCTAATCGCCATTATAGAGACTTTATTGTTTGCTTTTGCCATAAAATCAAGAAATGATGACATTTCACAGCTAAATCGATTAACAAACCCGATTTAGAGCACGAGAGAAAGAGAGGCCTTGAATAAGAGAGAAAGATATAATTACAACATTGGAAATCTCTTAAAGCGTCTTAACATCCAAAATGCCAGCGTTCAGGATTAAAAGTGTTGAAATAAAACCTAACTGAAAAATTAACGCATCTTTACAGCGAATCTGAATCTTAACTTACTTGCACCGCCCGACTGAATAAAGTACCAGCGTCCGCTGCCAGTCTTTTCACGTTAAAGTCCATCTTTTAAACTTTTCAATATAAAACTATTTATAAAAAGAGTGCACACGTCAGGATTGTGTAAATAAACGTGTTGACATCAATGTTAGCCTTTACACCGGTCGGGTTTTTTAGTGTGAAAGTATGCCTGAAGCAACAGCCGGAGAAGAGGAAGATCCACCCACGGATCTGATTACTGAGAGCACAGAATCGGACCTGGACCTCGAGAAGTGTCCGGTATAACCGAATAGGTCCAATTGTGTGCACCTTCATCAATATACACTCCGAAACTCTTTGACTTCAAACGGAAGCATTTTCAGCAACATTATGTTGCTTAGAGATTGTGGTATGTGCTTTAGGCCCAGCCTCAGCCTGCCATGGGCTTGTTGCTTCAGGTTGGGGGAACTTTTGACTCGTAGGTATTTCACATGCTTTTACTCTTTCAGTTAGTTAAACTTTAATCAGATTGTATGTAACTGTATGGTATTTATGTGTGCATAGCGCCCTCTATGGGTTCAAAAATACATGTATACTATCTATCTATCTATCTATCTATCTATCTATCTATCTATCTATCTATCTATCTATCTATCTATCTATCTATCTATCTATCTATCTATCTATCTATCTATCTATCTATCTATCTATCTATCTATCTATCTATCTATCTATCTATCTATCTACTTGGCCTTTAAATAACTTTTAGTTAATTTTTCAAAAATTCATCTATGGAATATTTTTATGTCAATGCATATAGTTATCACCACTAGATGGAAGCATGTAGCATTAGTGTTCTTGAATTTATGGGTTCTGCTCACCTGCCTGTTAAAACATTAATAGCAGTTAAGAAATGGGTAGATCAAGGAGGGTATTGACTTTTGGCATACTTCAAATAAAATAAATCACGCCATATTAAAGTTCAACTTTATTTAAAGATGTTAATATTGAACCCAACATTTTTGTTTAAATGGGTGTTTCTAAACTTTTATGATACCCACAGGCCTGGCCTGATAAATATCTATATAGCCTATTAGGCTATTTGTATTTGACTGGGGCTTATCACACATAAAGGTTTTGTTCTTAGGACATGGACATTTTTCAATAAATTCAGGTCAGGCAAGCTATCACATAATTAAATGAGGCGAGTTGTCACTTTTTATTTGTATATTATTATTAGGCTAGCCTACTATTATTTTACAATTTATTAATTGGGCCTATTACAATAATACAACATTAATTCAATAAATGTTCGTCAAAACAGTTATTTGATATTCTACATTTTGCTGTTTCATGAATGTTGCTAACTTGCAACACAACTTTAATTGCAGGTTCTATTATTACACTTTACCTAATATTGTGACTAATATTGTTTCTCCCTACCTTTGAAATAAAACTACTTTCTTCTCACTGCAACATCCGCGCTTGTAACCGTAGTAACCAATCTGCATTGTAGCCCAGCCCCTGCCCTCTACTCTACGTCATTTGACTGACAGGTAGATGCGGCGCTGTTTTCATCGTGCTTGATAGTGAGACGCGCGCGCCGCGCACTGATTCTTCCACAGAGAACCGGAGAGCATCTTATCCTCGTCTCGGTCTCTCACGTTTAAGTTTTTTTTTCAACCAGGGTGCAAGTGTTTGTTTTCAGAAACCGAGAGAAATGAGCGCAGTAGATATAATTTCGAACGAGAGACTAATAAAATCGAAATTGTAAGATTACTGATATTTAGCCTATTATTCTGGAGCTATATCGATTTTACTCTCCTTGCCAGAGTTAAATAAGAATCTGCCAAAATAAATAAAAATAAAAACATTAATTTGGGAAATGGGCAGCACAGCAATGGATTCTAAGAAAGATGAGAAGAAAAATTCTAGGAAAAGAAGATCGCTTCGGATACACATGCCTGTAAGTTAATATCTGACGATACTTATTTTCTTCTTCCACAGATTCAAAGCCAAAAGTTGTGGACATGGACTGGAACATGATACAGACACATAGCTAAATTGAATTCACGTTCTCTCTTCTCACAATGGTTTAGTACTGACATTGTGAAATGAGCCTCAAATGGATATGACTTTTCAGAAGTAGGCTATAGCCTATTTAAAAAAGGTAAGATAGTGTTTTTGTCTTGTGTTTACTGAATATAGGCCTATTCATATTTAAACAGGCTGTTTGTCAAATCTGTCAGATGTTATATCCAACTAAAAAGGTATTGATGTATATTTACATAGCCTAAATAATGTCCTGGCTTTTATTTATTGTGAAATTACCACACACACACTGAATATATATATATATTCACAGCCTATTTACCGTTCCGGCCCACTTTAACCCCTGTATATATATATATATATATATATATATATATATATATAATATGAAAACAGACAAATAAAATACTGTCTATATAGACAGTATTTTATTTGTCTGTTTTCATATTATTATTACGACAGATGCATTGCAGTCTCTGAGATGGCTAAACATAAACATTTCTGGTTCTCAGGATAATTAATATCATGGCTATGTTCTAAACAGCATAGCCTACTCATATTCAAATCAAATCAACCACCTATTCACATAAATAGCAATGAATATGTTTTGACCAGGTTGACCATATATCAATTGGCCACACCTGACTCCAGTTAAACATGGAGTCATCAACTCTAATGACTTAAAGAACCATAGATGACAATCAGTTAATGTGCGGTTTTCCTGAACAAATGCTCATGGAAACACAAAGGCTTTTTGAGAACTAATACTGATCAGTGCTGATTCTGTTTAGACACAGATGACACATGTGACATTTTACACTACATCAGAGTTCCATCTTATTATTTAGCAAAGAAAATAATAGTATAGCATAATAAGTAAGTGTAATTATTCGATTAAGAAGAAATCCCTGCACAATAATCATTGTTTTGGTTTAGTCCGCTCAAGCTGTGATGAAACTGTCTGTTTGTTTCAGTGGAGCCACTCAGTAATCACCTGCTAATTAGCTGTTTTGTGGCATTATCATAAGAGTGTCATTACTGAGTATAATCCTATGATTATATCCACAATATTTATCAGTAGGGGACACAGGTTCTGTTATCGCTGCATAATTTGTTGCATCGTGGCATTTTTGGCAGTGTCCTGACATTTTAACAGGTAGATGTGAAATATGTGCCATGGTTTCCTCTGCATTTGATTAAGTAAACAATCTTGAGCCATGTGATGTAGAGACGAACACTTTGAAAATGCTCCCTGAATGCTGATAAATCTCTTTATAGTGACCTTTTTTTTAACAGATGGGCATGAAAGCAGGTTTTAAAGTTTTATGAATCTTGTATTGGATGATTAATATGAAAATCAGGGCTGAGACTGTTCTTATACTCATAAAATGTCCAATATCAACTCTGCAATATTGACCCATGACATTTATGGTCATTCAAGTTTGAATTGGTGAACTATTAGGGTATATTTAACCACATTTACTGCTCTTAATAAATGTTGGTAAATAAATGACTGATCTAAAGGTCACAAAGCCAGCATTGTTACTAACATACACATTCTTGTGGATGTAATCAACCCGGGTGAACCCGCATGCACTTTTGTGTACATAAGAAATAGGTTCAGTGATTTCCCTACATTTTGAATTAACTCAAAAACAGACATATATATTTTGATTGCTGTTTATGTTTGCTTTTTCAGTGGTGGTTGCTTAGTGTAGTAAACTGAGATTATTTCAGTGTTGTACTAACTACACTCACCTAAAGGATTATTAGGAACACCTGTTCAATTTCTCATTAATGCGATTATCTAATCAACCAATCACATGGCAGTTGTTTCAATGCATTTAGGGGTGTGTGGTCCTGGTCAAGACAATCTCCTGAACTCCAAACTGAATGTCAGAATGGGAAAGAAAGGTGATTTAAGCAATTTTGAGCATTGCATGGTTGTTGGTGCCAGACGGGCTGGTCTGAGTATTTCACAATCTGCTCAGTTACTGGGATTTTCACGCACAACCATTTCTAGGGTTTACAAAGAATGGTGTGAAAAGGGAAAAACATCCAGTATATGCGGCAGTCCTGTGGGCAATGCCTTGTTGAAATGTCTGCAAACATTAAAACATTATGTATGAGTCAATGAAAGTCAAATTGAAAATCATAAAGCGTTTGGTTGTGACGTCATGACGAAACATTAGCATATTGCCCGCCCACTTATTGCCCACAAGCTGACGTTGTTATGGCAATGGCCGTTTTTGTTTTCGACATGCATGTTAAACCAATCACAACAGACTGAGCTGTCTGGCCAATCAGAGCAGAGTAGCTCGCGGAAAGGAGGGATTTAGAGAGATTGATTCATCTGACGGGTCGTTTGAGAATCATTGAAAATGTGGTGATGTGCAAATGTATATTATGAGTAAATGAAACATTTTTTTGACCTTTGATGCATATAAACTTTTTGTAGGAGACAAAAAACAACATTAGGAAACTTTAAAATAGCATAATAGGGGCACTTTAAAATAAATGAAACATAACTAACATGCAATCAAGTGTCTAAAAAAATTGCACTCCGTTTGCACCTAAATATATTATAAATCTTATTATTTCTGTAATAACTGCTCATTAAAGGTTTGCTAATGTATAGACCATTTTGCAAGATGTAAACAACACTGGTCCAGAAGCACTTCCTGTTTCAGTTTTTTAACACTACATAAAAGCTGGGATAAAATACAACCAACAGAACATATAAAACTGAATCAAAAAGTTAAACAAACATCTTTAAGATGTTTTCTTTACATGTGAAATAAAGAAAACAGTTACAAACTGAAACAGGAAGTGCTTCTGGACCAGTGTTGTTTACATCTTGTAAAATGGTCTATAGCTACTTATTTTTCACAAGGGTTCCAATTTTTTTAACGGCTTCTGAGGCCATTTGTGTCCGGTGGTTGAGTTATGATGTTTTGCTGTGCCTTCTTCAGATTTAAGATAAAAATGAGTGTTTTCCGGAAAAGTCAAGTCTCAAATATTGCACTTTAATCGATCTGCACACAATCTGCTGTCAGTTGAAACTAACAAAAGAGGCATCACAAGCGCTTGCAGTTTGTCTATGAGCATTTCTAGATCCTCAAATGCTGTTAAAGTTTGTCATTTGTGACTCAGTGCTGCAGTGAGATGCTGAATGACTTGCCCGATGCAATTTCACGTTTTAAAATGGTTTGCAGACCCCCATCAGGCTGAAGCTCTCCCTTAGTCAATACCTGTGCTGTATTTCTCTCTGTTTATCCATACACAAACAGACTGAGTTGCAAGCCAGCCTTGTTACCTTGCTGTATTTAAGTATATTTAGGGATAAACACACACATTGCCAGACCTGCCCCACTGACCTCCATGTTACTGAGGGGAGGTGCTGTATCATATCAGTGAGTTACGACTGTCCTTGCTCCTTGGAGTAACCCTGCATTCGTCTATTGGGATTTCCAAGTGCTTGCATCTCGATACCAGACCGCGACATCTGGAACTCTGTGAATCTGAGGGGGTGTTCTTTCTTTTTTGATCACTCTCCAGTTCTTGTTTTGGCTGAGGTAATATTTTGTCCTGATCTCTAGCATGCAAATATGGGCTTGTAATCGAGTCTTGGGCTTCAAGGATATGGAGGCGGGGTGCCTTCACCTTGAGCTCCCCGTCTACAGGACGGATTTCTACTTTGGCTTTGGTCTCTCTTTCCTAAGAGGAAACTGACTTGGATCTATCTGTATGAACAACGATGTGCTTGCTTTTATTGTTGATTAGTTTGTAAATTGGGAGATAAGGCATGGCATGTGGCAATAAAAGTGGCATGGTCAACTTTTTCAGAACATACTGTTAAAATCAAACAATTTAATTTTGCTTTTCATCAGCAACATGTTGTGAAACCTTTTCAAGGACGCTTATTTGAATTCTTTGATTTTTCTTGGCTTTCACTCACATCAGCTGCAGAATTGCTGTCTCAGGCTTTGAAAGTCAATCCTGTTACCATGGATATGACTGACCCGTTGGTAGACGAGAATATTTGCATGTTGAGGAGAAACATGAGTCAATCCGTAATGGATGGTTTTAATGAGGGAGACGGGAGAAGTATGTTTAAGTGACCATAGCTGGTTTTGACATTATGTAGCAAATACAAAGTAGCACTTTTACTGAGAACGGTTCAAGGAGTGGTGATGGCGCAGTGGACAAGACATATCTTTGGTGTGAGAGACTTGGGTTCGAATCCACTGTGAGTTCCTGACCAAGACACTTAACCCATAGTTGCTCCAGAGGCGTGACATATGTAGATAGCACATGACATATATAACTAGAATCTGACATATATAACAATTGTAAGTCGCTTTGGATAAAAGCGTCAGCTAAATTAATAAATGTAAATGTAGGTTGACCTAAACTGTATGATTTACTTATAACATTGATTAAATGCTTAATAATTATCAGATATATTCAGCTCTGTTCCTATATTCAATGTATTTTGAACCTTGAAATTAAATTGAAATTATCATATTTATTATTAGGGATGCACAACGATTAATTTTCAGATGCACTGATTATTTTTTTTAATCTTTTGGTATTACAATTCTATGCTATTTTTGTCTAAATAAATTATGAAAATGATCAATATTATATAGCAATATTATATTATTTATTTAATGGTGCGTTTTGCATGAGGATATTTTTCATCTTAATGTGAAGCAGGTGTATTTGAAATTACACTGATATATAAATATCACGATAAGACGATAATATTTTGGCAAATAATAAAATTCTAATCTTTTTGTCTGAATAAATTAAAAATAAAACACTAAAAACTGCATGTAAATGTTACATGTGAATTTAGGCATCCTAACATTATAATGTAGATTGTATTTAAGTTTTACTAAATTAGTAGATGATGTTTTGCCATTTCCGGTAATTAGCATATTCGGTCAACCACTAATGCTTTATATCAGTATAGCTTTCACTACTTGTTATGTACTGTAAGAAAAGTGCATTATTACACTTTCACTAACAACAGTTGTGTATATGTGTGATGATTAGTTACAGTAATTTGTAAGTCAGGCTAGCAAAGGGATTTTAAACTGGCACAAATCACACTAATACTCAAATACATGGAGTGACTGCTAAACAATTGCGTCTTCTGTGTGGCTACAGTACAATAGCGGCTTGTGTAATGAGGATAAAGGTAATGCACTTCAGTGACTCTGTGGTCTGTGCAAAGCCTTTGCTGTTGTTTGAAATGTCACTGCGTTGCATTTACAGAGAATTCGGAGAATTTATTAGGCTTTAGGTTACTGCCAAAAGGAGTTTAGGTACTAGGTGCAAGATTCTACATTAACAAACGGCAGCGAAATGGACGAAGAACTGAAGAACCTGTGTGTAAGTTTAGAAGTTGCTGTGCTCAATTTCTTCGTTTATCTGTGCAAATGTTGTTCTAGAATTGTAGAAACTGACCACATCTTATTTTAACCTTCGTGCAGTTAGTTTTAAGATTTGTTCTTATAGCTGGCCTGATAAAATCACTTGGTTCATAGAACAAACACTTGTTGAGAGACCATCAGAGTTTCTTGGAAAAGACTGTCTGATCTTCAGGGTTAAGTAATACCTGATTTAATCTGTTCATCATTACACATACTGTCCATTCACATAGACCGGGAAAAAATTGCAGGGCGGTCACATGAGATCATGTTACTTTAAAAACCGGTTTAAATGACAGAGACTGTGTAGATGTTTTCCACCACTGATGTCATTGCATGGCGGTGAGGATGTGTTTGAAAACGCACAATGCAAGTAATTGATGTTGGTGGTAAAACTAAAAGTCTGGATTTTTGAGAAGGAGGACAGTGGAGACGTTTTGGATATGCTGTGAGTTCTTCCAATTTGTTCTTGTATTTCTGGGTGGGCATGTGAGGTTTTGCACAGGTTAGATGGATCACCCACCGAGTGTCCATCTGTCATATGTGATGTGCTTCAAACCGTTAATTCTCTTTCTCTCTCGGCCTGTTATTTGTATAATTCCTTGTGATATTTGGGTACTGAAACCTGTAACCTTAGATTTATTTTGTTGAAATATTATGAAGTGAATGAGAGGTCCCACAGTCATGAAAGCGTTTTTTAAAGCACTCAATCATTTTGTTTGTTTGTGCTCCGCAGGACTTGAGCTCCTTCGCCATGCCGTTCCTGGAAGGAGATGCGGAACATGTAAACAAGGACGGCGTGCTCAAGGTAACACGACCAAAACACGCACAAGGCTGAGAACACTAAACACAGTTTTGAAATCAATCACAGTTGTGAAAAAATGAATTAGTGTATGTTTTTAGTGTGTGCGTGCCTGTGGTGTGTTATAGCTAAATTATTGGTTTCGTCAGTGTTGGAGATGCGCCTCACTGCAGAACATAAAATCCAGGGGGAGGATTTCCATCCAGATCCAACTCCTCCCACCTTACATATACCTAAACCTACCCATCTCCGCCCCCTGATCCCTAACCCCACCCCTAATCCTACCCATCTCCACCCCTTAGACCTGGATCCAACTCCGCCCCCTGGATCTCGTGTACTGCAATGAGGTGCTACTGCAGTGTTGGGGAAAGTTTCTTTTAAAAGTAATGCATTACAATATTGCGTTACTCCCTTAAAAAGGAACTAATTACATTACTTAGTTACTTTTTATGAAAAGTAATGTTACGTCACGTTTGCATTACTTTTTCTCACCTGGTTGTCTTCCAGGAATTGTGTGAGTTATTTTTCTGGTAGTGTTTAACATCACCAATATTGCCAATATAACATTCACTGTACATTATTGAGAAGAGAGAGAATTTTAATTAAGTAGTTTAAAAAACGTTGAAGAAAATTAATTAAAGTGAACAGTAAAGTGCGTTTAAAAAGTAAAAGTAACTCAATTAATGTTTAAATGTAGTGCGTTACTTGTTACATCAAAAAAGTAATTTGATTACATAATACACATTACTTGTAATGCGTTACCACTGACACTGAGTTCTCAATATTGTGTTATGATCATTATAATTTAAACGAGCAATAAATTATTCCAAAGTCATTTAAAAGGCTGACGACAATTGAATTCTGTTTTTTGTGTATTTCTGGTATATTCTGCCCCTCAAAGAAAAAATGCTATAGTTAATGTTTTTATGCCTGAAATCAGGTCTCTTTGACTATAATCTGTCCTATAACAGGAAAGTTTGGCTTAACTGCTACACAAATGTAGTGTGAAAACTGATATCAAATCAAGTTTTAATGTTTTCTCCTTTGTAGATCATTATTATAGTTAGCTGTGACGTGTATGATCTGGTAATACATAGTGGAAATGTTGTTGAAATGCGATGAGATTAAAAATGCAGATTCATTCCATTTGTGTTGGCAGTCTGAAAGCTGCTGTATCCTCAATGTCCTCAATCTCGGCAGTCACACTGATGGGATATGAGTCTGCTCTAAAAACCTGATTTGTAATCATGTCTACCATGGTACTTTTTGACTGCACTGACCTCTCATTGGATTCACAATCCAGCAACGTACATGGAGCATTTACTGAATGCTTGTGTATTTAATTGTGTAGCAGCCACAATGAAGGTTTACAGGCCCCCTTAAGTATTTGGATAAAGCATCATATACAATGCTTTTGCCAAAACGTAGACATCCAACGCACATGGCACCCTTTAGCGTCAAATGAGGCGCTTCGGTAATGGTAGGTTTAGGTATGAGGTAGGGTTAGGGTTAGACCACTAGGAGGCGCCTTCTACCCCATATTTGACGCTAAAGGGTGTCATGTGCATTGGATGTCTACGCTTTGGCAAAAGCGCCGTATAGGACGCCTTGGGATGAGAATGGGCTCGAATAACATAGTTTAATATGAAAAACAAAACAAACAAAAAACGGTGGAGTATCCCTTTAAAGGCTTAAAAAAAGCATGTCTTAAACCAGACTCTAATTTGCGCTTCTCTTGATAGATTGCGTTGGTCATTACGGAACAGCCCATTCTCACCCCCAAGGCGTCACTTAACTGACGCCTTGGGAAGCATTTGGACATGCTTCAATATCTGACGCTTTAGGCGCCCTTTAGCGTCAGTTAGATGACGCCCTAGGATCGCGTGTACCCTACCCCCACCCCACACCTAAACCTAACCGCGTCCTCTAACTGACGCTTTCCTTTAGCGTCAGTTAGATGACGCCGTAGGATCGCGTCATGTAAGTGACGCTAAAGGGCGCCTAAAACGTCAAATATTGAAGCATGGTCAAAGGTGACGCCTTGGGGTAAAAATGCGTTGTACGGAAATGATCCGGCTGCGTATATGTCGTCAGTAGATCAAGTGCAGAACTTTCCACTCCATCTGCACTTTTTTGGAATTGCACTCTCATGCTATTTTGCCCTGTTTAGTAAATCTGGCCCCATGTGTGTAGCTTATAATCCGAATACTTTTCGGTGTCACTGTAATTGTTGTCATTAATCTTGACTCATATTGGTGAGTATAGCCTAACTCAGGATCTGCTCTTTAGTCGTTACATTTGTAAAAATTCCAAAGCAATTCTGGGAAAGCATCATATCTGATGATAAATCACCCATAGAGGCCAGCGAGACAAGGCTGGAGAGGAGATAAATCACCTGACACTTTCGTTCAGTCCCTTCCCTCTGTTGTTGAAGGTGAGCGGGAGTCACTGAATCTGAAGGGTTCGGAAAACATATTTTGTGATCAGGTATAATCTGCTCCCCTTCATTGCTTCACCAATTTTTGTTGTTGTTGTATAAGCACTCAGGATATTAGCTAATATTTCTCCTTGTTGAACAGATGTTTGATTAACCCTTGGCAAGGTCAATGCAGGATCACCGGTGTGGACGAACATTTGTGTGCAAATGAAACGCATAGTGTTGTTCAAACGCTCGCCACAAGAATGCCTTAGATTCTGGATCAGAGCCAAAATAAGGGTATGTGAATTGAAAGGTTGTAAATCGCTGCGTCAGTATGTTTCATTTATCTCCTGATCAAGGTTCAGGAACATAAAAACTCAATGTCAGTGTAGACTTTTTTTTTTCCATCAGCTCTTTAACACAGGAACAGTCAAATGTTTCCATGACAACCAAGGGTCTCAGAATAATAAAAAATGTCATCACTCCTTCAAGTGTACAAAGCAAAGTTATTCTTTCATCTTAGTCTTTCAAGGTCTTCATAAACAGATTTTTTTAAAGGGATAGTTCAAATGAAATCATTATTTTCTCATCTTCATGTCATTCCAAAAATGGCAAGACTTTCTTGTTTTGTGTGTGTGGAACACAAAGAAAGACTTTTGTTTACATTTTATTTTGATAGTACACTTTAGACATTCTTCTAACTACCCTAACCCTAACTTTATAACTAGAAGTCAACTTATTCCACTAACCCCATCCCTCACAAACCCTAACCTAGAACAATCTACTACTAATACTCGAATGAGAGTTAGTTTGTAGAATGTGTAAAGTGGACCATCTTCAATGAATCACTGAGTCAGTGAGTTGAACTCATGAATGAATCATTTAGACTAGTGTGCTGTGGACTGACTGAATGATTCATTGAAAAGATCTGACTCAATCGAACGATTCATTCACATGCTATTTTTTTCTTTTAAACATACAAAGGAAAACTATATTTTCTATGTATTCACTTTCGAATTTCATTCATACTACCCATATTTAAACTGGACATACTTTTTTTAATTGTTCATAAAGTAAATTCAAATGTACCTATACCGTACACGATTTCAGATGCAGCGTTGGACTTAAATGGTGTATTTTGCTTGACAGCACCAGTCCTCATTTGCTTACTGACAATGCACTCTAAAAATGCTGGGTTATTTCAACCCAAATTTGGGTCAAATATAGCCCAAAAAAATTGTTGAAAGTGAAAGGTGAAGTTGGGTTAAAATGTTAAATTACATTTTTAACCCAACATTTGGGTTTGTGTATATTTTTAACCCAGCTTTGTTGAGAGTGTAGGGTATACTTCAGAAAATCATTTTTTTTGTGTTTCACAGAAAAAAAAGTTTAATTAGCTTTTATTTTTAATTATAGTTATTTTTTAGTTTTTCTGTTGTTTTAATTACATTTTATTAAAATATATAAAAATTGTTTTAATTTCGCCTTACTTTTATTTTAGTTTATGTAATTTTAGTACTTCAACTTAATTTTAGTAGCAGCCAAGTTTCTCATCTACTATTTAAATTATTCGTTTTTTTATTTAATTTATTAAATTTATTTAATAGTTTTAGGTAATAACAACACTGCATGAGTGAGAGTAAATGGTGACAGAATGCTCATTTTGAGTGAACTGTCCCTTTAACGTTCCAGTCGGTCACTACAAATCCCACTTTGTTGTATTCTGAGAGAGAGAGAGAGAGGGTGGGTGTCTAGTTATGTAGTGTGTTTAGGTATACAGTACTGTGAGGTATTTATGCCACGGTGTGAGCCTCTATAATTTAACAAAAGCCTCTTGACAAAACAAGGCCATCTGTTCTTTTGGCTGTCTAAACAGTTTTCCGTGGCTTTGTCTGGCTGTTTTTGCCGTGTGAAATTCCCATGTGAATGAACGGTGGAAACATCAAGGACTCACAATGCATCTGAATGTTATGACGTCTCTTCATTTAGTATCTCAATGTCCTTAAACATTCCCTCAATGGTCAGCATGCATAACGTCACAGTAATGAATCTGTAAGAATGCCATTGGTTGATGATTTTGTGACTTTCCTCGAATACATAAAACCAACGTTCATGTCATTGTGCCGTGATGTAAAATCTCACATGTAAAGATATCTCTCAAGGTTTAACAGTGTATTGTTCCATCCATAAAATTGTGCCTTGTGCCATAATGACTTGTTTTATGGACATATTTTTTTTTCAGGAAATCTACAATCCCAACTAACAGAGAACTTTCTGAGAATTTTACGTTCTAGCAAAGTTATGAACAAAGATTATTCCAGTAACGTTAATAAAACGTTTGTTCAAAGATATCTAGTCTTCTCGAAACGTTAGCACAAAACTGGATGTGAACAAATAACTGAATGGGAACGTTAGCAAAATGGAAATATTTTAGAAGATATTTTTGTCAATGGGAATCTACATTGACTTGTGTGTGATTGTATTTTCATTTCCTCTCCAGGGTGAGCCTAGCTGCCGTTCAGCCAGTCCGACCAAAACCTTCTTCAGTCGGGGTCCTTTCAGCCGTCCCTCTAGCCCTATGTCTGCTCCAGCCCGGTCCAGAAACAGCCCTGGATCTCCCAAATCCATCTTCCCCTACTCGTCCAACAACGACTCCTCGCCCAAGTGTTCACGTCGCCGCAGCTTCACCGGAATGTTCCGTTCATCCTCCAAAGAGTCCACAAATCCTTCTACATCTCCTGTCAGCATCAGACTCTTCTCTCGGGCCAGGAAAGGTAAGACACATGTATCAGCTGCCAGAATGCTTCAAGTCGGAAAAATGCAACATTTAAAGTGGTCATATGATGACAAATCACATTTCTCTTCCCCTTTGGAAATATACTTTTGTTGTAACATGTAGTCTGGCTTAAAAATCCCTAGTCCGCCAAGACCATTTATAGAAATTATTGAATGCACACTAACGTTCATAAATATTTTTTGGTATATTTTTATTCAGCAGGGGTGCATTCAAATTTTTAAATTGATTTAAAAAATGATTGTAAAGACTTTTAAATTGTTACTAGGGCTGAGCAACGATTAATCGCGATTAATCGCATCCAAAATAAAAGTTTGTGTTTACATAATGTATGTGTGTACTGTGTATAATAATTTTGTATATAAAAATTCACACATATGCATGTATATATTTAAGAAAAATGTGTTACTAGTATATAAAATATTAATATTTATATTTAATATAAATTATATATATATATATATATATATATATATATACACAGTATGCAAATATTTCTTAAATATATACATGCATGTGTGTGTATTTATATATATATATACAAAATAATTATACACACTGCATACACATATGTTATGTAAACACAAACTTTTATTTTGGATGCGATTAATCGTGATTAATCGTAGCCCAGCACTAATTGTTAGAAAAGATTTCTATTTTAAATAAATGCTGTTCATCAAAAAACCCGGAAAAAAACTAGTATCACGGTTCCCACAAAATATTAAACAGCACAACTGTTTTTTTTTAATCTAAAGTATGTTTTATATGCAGTGCTCTACAATTATATGATTGGTACTGGGTTATTGAGTTGGCCGTCTTCCCTAAATGTATTCAGTGTGAGAGTTTGTAATGTTAATTATGAGCTGATTGTGAAGTTAACATTCATCCAGACTAAAAGATTGTTAAATGTGAATTATTATACCAGTATATCCAGATCGCAGCATAAAAGATGAAAATGTATATTAGCATTGGTGAGATGAGATGCTATGAATGCCATTATCACATCAGTGTGTGGTGTGAGTCAGCATTTAGTGAACGCTTTCACGGCTTGTCTGGGTCTGGCTTAGCCTGGGGTGTGTAATGTTGTGGATAATTGCGCTGTGTGCTGATTTAATGGAGGTGTGGGTGTTTCTTAATACAGAAGACCTTGATAATGAATTCAGCTTTCAAATATGTTATCCACGTGAGTCTGATTTAAAGATCAGAAACAAGAGGAGGGAGCATGATTTTTATTTTTTTTTGTATTTATACTATATGAAGAGCTTACTCAGTTTATATATAATTTAAAACATTACTACTATTTAAACAACTATTTAAAGTTACCAAAGATTTGTATCTTAATATTTTTTTGAAGTAGTTTAGTACTTATGATATAAGGTTACTGTCCTTGATATATTGTAGGTTTGTGGTCAGAGCTCTTGATTAAATGATGTGTTACTCAAATGCACGAGTGTTATCCTTGGTGACTAATGACTTTGTGTTTATGGGCTCCTGACAATGTTTATTTTGTTGGTTGTGGTTAAAATTTCATCAAGAGTAGAAGATGTTGAAGTGAAGATAATTGAAACTATCCATGTGACGTGACATTTCAAATGACTGTTATTTAAAAGCACACACAAACATTGTTGACACGTAGTACTTTGCTGTTGTCTCTCAGTTTGACAAGGAAAAGATTAATCAGCCGAAATTTACTTTGTTCCCACGAACTGAAAGTGTAATCAATAATTATAAAATTAAAGTTGGTCTTGGATTAAGTATGAGAATGGAGTGACCTATAATTAGATGATTTCGAGTGATTAAGTTTTTGCCTGAGTTTGATGTGTAGGTAGAACTGGTCTGTACCGCGGTAAAATCGTGAAAGTAGGTCAGGTCATGGTCTTGTATTTACAAATAATAAAGCAATTTTATAATATAAACAAAATATATATATATATATATATATATATATATATATATATATATATATATAATTTGTATTTATTTAGAATATATATTTCAATATATATTTCGAAATATATACATTCATATTTTTGTTTATATAATACATTTCTTTATTTTAAATTGTTTAAAATAAAAAATAAATATATCAGGTCACTATTTCATGTGTGTGTGTGTGTGTGTGCGTATATATATATATATATATATATATATATATATATATATATATATATATATATATATGCAGTATATTATAAATATATATATACAGTATATATATATATATAAACATTTAAACAGAAAACATATCTAAATAATATATATATTTTAAAATAATTATATATATATATATATATATATAATCATTTAAATGGTAAACATATATAAATAATATATAATTTAAAATAATATATATATATATATAAACAGTGTATAAATATATTTATACATATAGTCATTTAAACGGAAAACATATATAAATTATATATATATTTTAAAATAATTATATATATATATATATATATATGTATAATCATTTAAATGGTACACTCTAAAAAATGCTGGGTTGTTTTAACCCAATTTTGGGTCAAATATGGACAAACCCGAAATGTTGGGTTAAAAATGTAATGTAAAAATTTAACCCAACGGCTGGGTTAGTCCATATTTGACCCAAAGTTGGGTTAAAACAACCCAGCATTTTTTAGAGTGTAAACATAATAATATATACAGAAATAATATATATATATATATATATATATATATATATATATATATATATATATATGCAGGGTAAATGTGTATTTTTGCAGTGTGTGGGGGCGAGTATGTGTGTAGGTGAACCACACACACACAGGACAATACACACAGTTGGGAATATTTTTCTTCATACACATACACACTTATATAACAGCACTACTATGCTTCTCTGACGAGTCGCTTTGGCTGGCAGACTTTCCTGTCAGCCGAAAACAACAACCTATTGGTTTATTCTTAAATACTGGAGTTGGAGCAAAACTGGATTCCTCTGTCTGATTGCAAGGCAGAGCTGGCCAGATTAAAACACATCAAGGGAGAGTATTAAAACATTAGAGGCACTCGAGATAGAAAAAGAAGATGTGTTTCTGGACTACGTTTTTTATTACTTGATTATATCGATCTGTATAATGAGGTTTTTATCTGCTAAGTGCATCTGGTGCATTTACACACACACACACACACCGAGAGAGAGAGAGATATGGGATATGGATCCATTTCAGCATTTATAAAATCCTGGTTATCTCAGGGCTGTTTGTCTTTTTGAACGGGTGTGTATTTAGCTGAGATGTGTATGTGCCAGTGACTCTGAGAATAATGAACACTGATGGACAGAAGCTTCTGATCAAGCAGTGTTTGTCATTCAGGAAATGACACTCTTGCCAGAGGAATTCTCAATTGGACTGCACCCAGACAGTGACATCAGTGCAGAAAGCACATAATTCAATCACGCTTGCTTTCATTATATTAGCTGAAATTAATCCTTGACTCTAAGACGTTCTCAGAGCTCCTTAGCACAGGCAGCTGAAAATGAGGATGGCCGTATGTCTATAATATGATAACAATTCAGGTTTTGCCTCAATAAGACCGTGATTAGGAAGGAACGATGCTGTGTCATCCTCTATACACTGATATCCCACAATCTAATTGTCTGGTTTTATCGCCACCTACTGGATAAAATTTAAATGTTGCATTCTTCATATGTCTATAGTCATGATTATATTATATTATATTATATTATATTATATTATATTATATTATATTATATTATATTATATTATATTATATTATATTATATTATATTATATTATATTATATTATATTATATTTCAAAAGTTTTGGTCATTAAGATGTTTTGAAAAAAGTCTCTAATGCTCACCAAGTCTGTAAACAGTAATATTGTGAAATATTATTGCAATTTACAATAACTATTTTCTACTTTAATATATTTTAGAATGTAATTTATTCCTGTGATGGCAAAGCTGATCCTTTATGAAATCATTCAAATATGCTCAGCAGGTGCTCAAGTAACATTTCTCATTATTTTCAATGTTGAAAACAGTTGTGCTGTTTATTATTTTTTGTGGAATTCTTTTATTAATTGAAAGTTCAAAAGAACAGTATGTATCTTTGGTAATGTGATAAATGTTGCTACTGTGGCTTTTGATAAATTGAACGCAGTAACCAGACAGTTTATGGTCTCATTGACTTCCATAGTATATATATTTTTTCCTACTATGGAAGTCAATGAGACCAGAAACTGTCTGGTTACTGATATTCTTCTAAATATCAGAAAATCGGCTGAATGGATTCGAAAACGGTGAAACTCTAGGGGACTTGTAAAATGAGCCTATTTCCAAAAAAAGTGGAGTATCCCTTTAAATGAAAATTATTCTTGTCCCCCAGACTTTATATAAAACCATAGACTGTAAAAAAATAAAACGGATAGAAAGGTTTAGTTGCTTTTCATGTCATGTTACTGTGCGACCACTAGATGGAGGCAAAGTAGGCTAAACACAACTATTGCAAGGTCGTTTGAGGATGAAGTCTTTCTCCAATGCTTTTCTATCAGATGCTGACCCAGGACAGTACAAATGATTCACTAACAAAAGTAAACAGAAGCAATCTTAAAATCATCCATTGAAATTCACAAGCTTCATTCTTCTGCTAATTTGATGTAAAATATTGATATTTCATTGATCATCACATATAGGCCTAGTCAACATTTGAAGTGGATCAAAACCTTTCATCACATTACTTTTGAACAAAACCAGTTCTTGTCTTAGGACAACTTTGAACTTTTTTGATCCACTTCAAATGTTGACTACTGTATTTGAATCATATAAATACAGCCACAGACACCCATGTGTTCCTAGTGAGAAAGACAACGAGACAGAGCGATATCGAGCATTCAAGCACATGAGAGAAGCTCTAAAGCGAGTCAGTGGCTTCTTTTCTACATGTCAGACATCATCAGTCCCTTCACCACAGGAGTGCCGAGACCCTTGA